ACTTTTTGATCATCACTGGAGTAATAGGCTTCGCTATCGCTCAGCCAATTAATTTGTCAGTGTTTGCTTTTGGAGCTGGACTGTCTCGTTACCGGCCGGTCAGCCAGTTGTTTTTTTAGAGTATTAGTGTCCTCACGCCACGCCAACGAAGTACTAAACAATATTTAACTCCCATTACTTCCACTTTTTATATTAAATATCTAACCGGGATCTGTTGACCTCGACGTGTGCTGTCCGGGGGAACATGCAGCTTGCTTTATGTCAATGGTGTAGTTTGCGCTCACAGTGTGTTTCTCTCAGCCCTTCCGAAAACTACGCGTCAAAATGCCTAGTTCACTTCATACTTCGGCTATTCTTTTAGTCTTAATAGCATTAATTTATACCCGCGCTACTCCCGTTGCAGTACGTATACACTGTAATTCTGGATAAGAGGCTTTTCCCATATTTTCGGATGATGAAATGCTCTGTGTAACTCATATAATTTATCTCACCTACGGAAGTGATGACATTTTCTGTGATACTGATTTAAAAATAATGCGGCAACACTGATCTTTTTGCGAAACGGTGTGATGCACATTGCATAAAGCTCTGATACCTTAAAGAATGGCACAAATAAGAGATGATAATCACAAATTCACGTATGTATTTTTTTTTCTGCGATGATCCCATGTCCAAAAAGCCCGTAGACTGAACTAATTTCGGATCTGAATTTTGTATAATCGCGTAGGAAGGCACCAAAAGGTTAGACCTTCCTCAACAAAAAGCTATATTTTTGGTGTCCATAAATGTACTCATTTCGGAGTTTGAGTATGGACGTGATTTTGATCCGAAATAGGGATACATGAACCTATTCGGGATCAGCTATAGATCAAGATGGTGGTTTTGGCATCTAGTAGCATTAAGGTGGATCTCCAATGGAGCAATCTACGCTACCCATCGCCCATCATCCGTCACCCATCACTTGAGATTTCGTGTTTTTACATCGCGAAATACAATCATAAGGTGTCCCTAAGAGAAAATAGACGTCTATAAGATGTTTAATAGACATCTACTGCTAGACGGAAAGTTGTCTAATAGACGTCTTTGGTGGACGTCTATTGGACCGACTTGATTGTCTCTACGGAGGCATCTATTAGACGTCTATCAGTAGACGTCTATATTTAGATGCCTTTTAGATGACATCTAGATATTTATAAGATTTTTATAATGCAACCTTCAAATTCGAAAATGATCCTGTACTTTCTTCGTCTGGCGCTTTTCTTTTTTCTCCTTGGTTGATTGTTATCTCGATTGTAACTCATTGAATTTCTTACTATTTTACCTTACCTTGCCCGGTTTCGAACCTCGGAACTGCGGAATGGTAACCCTCGACGCTGACCACTACGCCACGAGTTGCCTCCTACGTGAGGTCGGTCTGGTTCCGGTTGCATTCGTCTTACCTCCCCTCCATATTTGAGAGGTTACATACAATCGGGCCAAACTACCATGGTAATTTAATTTCTCATACTGAACAGACGGGAACAGATTCAAGCTACTGAGCCGGCTACTGAACTAAATTTAGGTACCTTAATTTTTTTGCTGAAAGAACGGACCTTGCTTCCGTCTTTTAAATCGCTAACAATAAGCTGGGTGCGTAGAGTGGAGTACAAGCCGAGTATGAACTAAAAGAAGCATGTTTTAAAGGTTGGGGAACTCTTGAAAAATTGACATTTTTTCAAACTGAAATATGAACATGATAACACTTTCCATGTGTCGGACTTGTGTGAAAACATCATTTTTTAGGGTACTCAGAGTAGCCTTTCATGGTATCGAATGATTTTTAATAGGTCTTTTGCCGATTTGGCTGTAAAAGTACTTTCGCTGATCCGAATTAGGTTAAGAAGTCCTATTTCGGATCGAAAACACGTAGCTCGGCTCACTCTCATATCTCCGAAACGGGTGCAGCTACAACCCTCAAAAAAATTTCGAATTGTAAAGGAAGAAGTCGACTATCATTACCTCCAGTCGTGGCGGTTCTACAACTCGCGTGTTGCGGCACAGCGAGGAAAAACGAAAATCTGATCCGAAATAGGTTCAATCGCTCTAATCGGTGAGTTTGTTCTTTTTCACTCCCGTTTTAGATAGCCTTCAAGCGCCAAGGAGGTAAGGGTTCAGAAAGAACTATGGTTCTTCTTTGAATCCGATTTGCGTCACGTAAATGTCGTATTAAGCTAGCGACCTGAAATTTTTAGAGTCATTTTGAATCATTTAACACAGTTTTAACTCACAATGTATCAAAGAATGGTAGAACAAACAAATATCGTACAACTCTGTGTAAAGCACACTTTTGTCACAATCAGCTGAAGAAATTCTTTTCAATACCCCTTACTTGCCTCTGGTTGGAGTGATATTTGTATAGAATAATATTTTGCATCTCTCAAAGTGATATACCTCCTTCTATACCAAATGTATAATTTGTCATTCTTCGATTCACAACCATCGATCTCACTGAGGTGTTTTGAGGGTTACTAGTCATTGTCATCTTTTAATTGAAGGTTCTATAATATATCTTATCATAGAATGCAATTTAAATTCCATCACCGTTTTATTTCAGTGTCATTGTAAATAATATGGCTCTAGACAAACCTAGTCAATTTAAGAGAATCATATTCTTCGTTCTGATCTCGAACGGCTTATCCTACACAGGCGCGGTACAAGAGGGGGCGACAGGGGGGGGGGGGGGGGGGGTACTGTGGGTTGCCTACATACAGGGGTTTTTGTCGTACAAATTGCCTACCTTTCAGGCGGCTTCGCCCCCCCCCCCCCCATCCTAAACCAAGTTGCCACTGTGGCTTTATTATTGTTCGGTCCCTTGCAATAAGTACACATTAAAATTAGCGGGTGGATTTTTCAAACTGACGTAGATTCTCTGTTTTTTGAGCAAGAAAGCTGAGAATTGGCATGCAGGCGTCTCAATCATTCATCTCGAGGCTCAGGAAGTGCGCAAGCCGTTAGCCACCCCTGACGAGCTGTGCACCCCCTAGAGTGGAGGAGGGTGAAAAAACCGTCCGTAACAACTCCAAAATTGGCACTATAAGTGCTCGGACTGTCAAGATTTGTCGTGAATCGACCCAACTTTTTGTCCTCTTTCGAACGGTGTAAGCAAATTTGCGATCGGACTAACTCACCCTCTTCCGCACTCACTCCCACCCCCTCGAAGGGGTGAGTTTTGAGGTTCATCAAATTGAGCTCGATATCCTCTTGGGACGTCCCCTGTACACGGCCCACGTGTTTTTAAATTAATAGTACTTTACTTAACTATGTATCATTGCTTGTACTCTCATGTGGAGCTCTGAGAGGCACCAGGCATGACGTCATCCAGTAGTGTGTGTAGGGGCGCGGGATGAGGCCCCGACCGTCGTGCCACAGCCAGACGCCCCCTCCCCCCTCCCTTCTACCCCCCTCCCTCCGGCACACTCGGCTCGTCGCTCGGCTCGAAGCGCTCGGAGCTCGGGGTTAGGACCGTCTCAACTGAGGGACGCGCGCGGCGCGGTAATTCAAACTCTAACCTATAAAGAGACAGAACTAAATGAATTCAGAAACATTATTTTAAAACCATGACTCTATTGAGAATTATCACTCACAAACTGTCTCTACGTCCCTCTTCACACTAACTTTGTCTTAGAACCTTCAAAACATTACATAGTATGGGAGACACCCAAATCTTTTAAAGTATAAATAAGTAATTAAATGTGAATTAAGATTTGTAAATTATTTATATACTTCTGCAAGTAATGCGTCCCGTGATACCACGGAAATATTATAGACTGGGATAATACTTGAATTCGTATCATCTGCTTTCACGATCCGTTCCTGAACGGAACTTTTTTTTTCGAATCGGACAAAAAGTTGGGTCGATTCACGACAAATCTTGACTTTCTGAGCGCTTAAAGTGGCAATTTTGGAGTTGTTACGGACGTTTCTACACCTTCCTCCACTCTAGGGGGTGCACAGCTCGTTAGGGGTGGCCAACGGCTTGCGCACTTCTTGAGCCTCGAGATGACTGATTGAGACGCCTGTGTGCCAATTCTCAGCTTCCTTGCTCAAAAAACATAGAATCTACGTCAGTTAAAAAATTTTGATAAGGAGTGTATATTGCTATTAAGAAAAGAAGTTGTGAGTTAAATAAATCTTTTAAAATGTCTATTTGTAAGATAAAATGACTTCTAGTCGTTCTATAAGTGAACACCATTATTTTGTGTTCGAATAAAAATTTGAAAAATTGCAATTTACGAAAAATTATCAAAATTTAAAAGTAATTCCAGACTTAGATTTCTCTTTCAAAATTAAAAAGGAAATGTATTATGCTCAGAGCCGATCAGATTCGAAACGGCAAAGTTATTGGTCCCCAAACTGACCCGAAGTTCCAAAAACGAAAAAAGTACCAATTTGGTAGGGAATATCTCTGCTATTTCGATTCAGATCGTCCGTCTTCGGGCATAAAACATTTTCGTTTTAATTTTATTTTTAAAGAGGAACCAGCGACAAAAGAGTCACCTTTTTACAATCCCTTCCCATCGGACACTCGCGAAACTTCGTAGGCAGAGTACTGCTTACTCTAAAACTAAAAATAACACACTCAGTGTGACAACCTGACATTTTAATCACTGCTGCGAAGGTATCAAAGTCTTCAGGTGAGGGCAGAAGCCACTTGCCCTTCCCCGCCCCCCCCCCCTTAATTCGGACGCCGTGCTACCAACCTACCACCACCAAACTACAAATTCAAATTAAACGATCGTATATTTTAAACATCGTATATCAAAATTCTAAACTAAACTCGTTACGCTCTGCCGCGCTGGAAAACGACAGGCGGCCTTCCTGCAAGGCGTCTGCCTCACCAGCGCGCTCAGGCGGGCCAGCCGGCGACCGCCTGGCTAGGCAGGTGGCGCTGGCAGGCTGCAAGCGCCGAAAGTCCGAGCTCTGGTCGGCACACTTCTAGCTCCTAGTCTTTAGTCCTTGCCATTGCGTTTGTAATCAGCTTTTAACTATGTCCACATTGTTTCAGGGTCCCTATTACATCAAACCAGATCTTTGCGAGGCCTGCCCGCGAGATGAAATGGCTCTAGATTTTCCAATCGATGTCAAATTAGTCCGGGATCGAACCAACACTAACTTCTACTTCGTGTCTGTGGATTGGGCAAGCCAATTTACCTTCGACGACACTAAAGATGTTAGTTCGCTGAATGGTTTCGTGTTGTTGTTGTTTACCGCCTTGTCCTGAGGTGCGATTCGAAAATGGGATCGTTTAAGCAAGAGACTAGGGCTTCTGGATAGGCAACGGTGAGCGCCGGATCCGCTGCCGCGGCAGATGTTCGTCGCTATATCTCAGCCAATACTGCGATTTTCGGGTCGTTTCAATGTGCATTGGCCTCAGGAAGCTTGAGTCCATCACCGAAATTCAAAAAAGGTGCCACTTGTCGCTCCGTATAAGCTGGGACGTCGCTTGTAGTAAGCACTCAAAATCGCCAATTTCAGCCTTAAACATGTACTTTTTTTTTTAAACTTCATTGAACTTTTTCGATGTATTTTAAAGTTCGGGGAACTTTGACATTTATTTTGAATTTCGGGTAACTTTGGCATTTGATTTTAAACTTCGTGGAACTTTGACATTTAGTTCGAACTTCGGTGAACTTCGGTGAATTTCAGGGAAACTCGAATGAATTTTACAAAGCGAACTCCAGTGAACTTGACCTGAACTTCGGCCGAAGTTCATGAACGTCAACTTCGGGTGTACAATTTTTTGGAACCTATTCCTGCTTGTGTTAGGTGTAACTTCACTGTTAAAAAAGTTATTAAAATTCATAACAAAAATGTTGTTAATTTTAATAACATCAGTGGTTTAATAAACCTGTTGTGAAATTTCACAAATCGTGTTATTAAAGTTCATAACGGGTTGTGAAATTTAAGAATGGTTGTTACTTTTAATGACCAGTTGTGACTTTTAAGATATGCGTTGGTACTTTTCATAAAAAGTTTGTAACTTTTCAGAACTGCGGTTGTTATTTTTGAAATGGTTCGTCCTCAGACCTGTTCTGAATTTGCCGCCTCGCCACCCACATCGTGTATTTCTCATTTTGTAAACTTTGTATGAAAAATTCTTCTTCCCCCCCCCCTCCCCTCC